GAGGAGGACTCTGAAACAATGCCTGATGAGGAAGAAGAAGAAGAAAAAGTTTCTCAGCCAGATGTGGGAGGGGCCATTAAGATCATCCGGCAATTAATGGAAAAATTTAATTTGGATCTGTCGACAATTACCCAGGCCCTCCTTAAAAATAGCGGTGAGCTGGAGGCTACGTCCTCCTTTTTAGAGTCTGGCCAGAGGGCAGATGGCTACCCCATCTGGTCCCGACAAGATGACTTAGATTTACAAAAAGATGATGAGGATACCCGAGAGGCATTGGTTAAAAAATTTGGAGCTCAGAATGTAGCGAGGAGGATTGAATTCCGAAAGAAATAATTGGCAAGATGAGAAAAGGTGTGATAAGTTAAAAATGTGATCATTGAACTTTGATGAGTTTGTTCATGAAATAATACTTGCCTTCTTAACTATTACTGCCATTGTTCCATGAGTCCTCGATTTTATAGCCACGCAGAGTTCAGAGGAAGATAAAAATGAAAGAACTTGGCTATGTTTAGAACTAGTCCAGGTATGTGTCTGTTTTTGAAAAGGAAATTTAAGCCTAGGAGAGTCTGGTCTTCTTGGTAGCAATCCTTTGCTGGAATGGAAGCCTTGCAGTACCGGTGGACAGGAGCTCGTGACAAAGGAGGAAAATTAAAGCGTTAGTCTGGTTTTTTTCTTCATGTGGCTTACATAAGGAACCTCCTATTCCTCGGCAGAAGCTCCTCTAGATTGCGAAAGACTCCACATCAAGAAGTATCAAAAGAATGACAAGATCTTGAGCGGGGGCTCCCCCACACCCTTGTGTCCCTTGGTCCATTCCCCAGTGAGCTCTGATTTCCAGGCCTTTTTGAATATCCTCTGGTGCCTTTGTGGACTGAATATTTGTGGACCCTGTCCCTTGGTGGCTCTTTGAGCCCTTGTCAGTCAGATCTCTAGCATATATTTCTGTAACTCCATTTAATTTTGTTTAAAACGTGCACATACAACATTAGTCTTGAGAACAGGAATATGTCTTTATTGAGAATAGTTTGGTGCTGAGGACTATGTTAGATTAAAAAATGAATTGATTCCTATTTGTTGTGTTGCTTTCATTCATTGAAAATCAAATAAAACTTTGTATTTGTGTCTTCAATAAGTTTTATTTTTGGTACATGTAAAACCATTTATAGATAAAAACCACGAAGGGGTTAACGTTCTGTGCTGTTGCTAATTAGCACTGATCAAGTGGTTCCATCTGAGAACCAGTAGACCAGTAAAAATTCGAGTTCCTCTGGATAGAGCACAGAGAAGATCCGGCTCAGGGACTGAAACCAACTGGAACCAGCAGATGAGGAACACTGCCAGTGTGCCACCCACGTCCCCGGGGCACTCAGCATTTCAGCACATGCCACCAAGAGAGTCCTGTTCCAAGCACCGGCTTGAGGAGCTTTCTCTGCTTGAAATGCTAGAGTTCGTGTTCCTGGAAGCAGCCTACAGCTAATGGTGAGTGGGATTTAGCAGCTGTGTATACCCAGACCCCTTGCAGACCAGAGGAATTACTCCTTGAGTGGGATGGTGATACCTGTGCTGTGTCTCAGCGGTCCCCAGCAAGTGTGTAAGTAGAGTTGCTGGTACAGATGCATTCTCCAGTCGCTTCCTTGTTTCACATCCCAAATCTGGTATCTGGAGTCAGCAGTTACACTTGGATTCTTTCCTGAGGGAGCACAGTTGAACATTACAGGTACTGAACCTTTCCCTCTCCCTCAGCAGGCTGAAAGATACAATACACTCCCAGTTGGTTGTCGTTCACTGTAGTACTAACCCCGAAATAAGGGTCAGGAGGAGTTGATGGTGGCCATTTGGTTTGAGGGCTTTCTAGGGAGGTAAACCCTGGTGGTGTGGTGGGTGACATGTTGAGCTGGTAGCCCCAGGTTCAGCAGTTTGAAACCAGCAGCCAATCCGGTGAGAAGTTTCAGTCTCAGAAACCCATGGGGCAGTTCTGCCCTGCCCTACAGGGCTGCTGGGTCAGAATCAACTTGATGGCAGTATTTGGTTTTTTGAGAGGATGGTCGAAAATTATGGCATTAGAGATGAAATGGATGTCTACATTTTTTGTGACGTTATCACAGCCTATGCTGTTTTTTGCCGAACTTCTGTTAGGTCTTTCTCGCGGGAGAAATACCTCCGTCCTTGAGAAAGAATTCACGCGAAGCCTGGTTTGTGATCCAAGTGAGTTTTACAAAGGTTAAAAACAGCAGAAATGCACAGGACCTCGGTCCTGCCACGCTGAACTGTGTGTCTGCCTCTGGGAGAGAGAGTGAGAGAGAAACTTCTGGCTTTTCAGGGCCCCTGTGAGAGACATGGTCGACGATACCGGTTGATCCCATTGGCTGAATCGAATTCACCTGGCCTAGATGGGCCAATTTAGGTATACCACCCACCCAGGTGTACCTCCCCTTCCATGCCAGAAGCTTGAACCTCTGAGCATGCGCAATGGACACCCCAGTCCCTGTGCTAGCTACCTAACATTTCCCCCCTGAAGAGGTATGGAACCAAGTCTTAGGGGTACTGGGCGACGACCTCTTTGGTGCTTTCTGCTGGCAAAAAGGGGTGGAGTGGGGCTTTGGGTCCACACCCTTCCTACTCTGTTGGAAGGGGCTGTCCACTGGGGCTCAGGGTGGATAAGGTTGGGGTGGATCAGGAGCTGGTTGTCCTGAAGCTGGCATAGTTGGTTTAGAGACCTTGGTAACCTGAGACCTGGAAGAAACAGGTGGACAGTAGGTGAGAAGGGTAAAGTTATGAGATGGCAGTACCCTTGGAGGTTGAGGTTAGTGTCACGGGAAATTTAGAAAAGAGGGAATCTTAGGACAGGCATGGGTAAGGTGACCAGACATCCCACTTTTGGCGGGACAGTCCCGAGTTTTGGAAAGAATCCATGACAAGCTAGGGAACGGTCTATTTGTTCCATATAGACCTAATTTTTTTTAAAACATTTTATTAGGGGCTCATACAACTGTTATTGCAATCCATACACACATCAATTGTGTAAAGCACATTTGTACATCATTCTCAAAACATTTTCTCTCCATTCAAATCCCCGACATTAGGTCCTCATTTTTCCCCTCCCTCCCCGCTCCCCCCTCCCTCTTGAGCCCTTGATAGTTTATAAATTGGTATTTTGTCATATCTTGCCCTGTTCGACGTCTCCCTTAGACCAAATTTTTAATCAAGAACACCCCCCCCCCAACCCCGACCCCCGTCAATGGTGTCCCTCTTTAAATCTGGTCACCTTAGCATGGGTACTAGTTCACTTTAAACGCAGGAGCGGAGTAAAAGCATTCACGAGCTTAAAGACTGTGATGGGTCTGAGGTACAGTTTCTGTGGAGCCCTTATCTGTCCTGGAGTGGCAGTGAAACACCCCAACAGCTTTCAGGGATGCTTGTCTGGATGCTCCGTTTCTGAGGGGTCTGGGTGTAACAGCTTCCACGGTTTCACCTGTGATGGTGCCCAGGGTCTGGGGAAGGAGGGGAGGACAGGAGAGGCAGCCCAGTATCTAGGAGGACATCCACTGAACCTTGCTGCCACATTGATTGCTCACCCGAGGTTCCAGACCTGCTACCGCTCTGCTGCTGCTTCACTGGCAGGGTCGGGTCAATCTTCAATGGGCAGATGCTCACCTGGCCTGCAGACACCCTCCCTCTTGGCTATCTGCCATAGGACAAGGGACATCTTGGTGGCCAGCTTGCTGGGGGGTGACATGGCCCTTGGGAGGGCATATTCCGACTAGTGCAGTTCTGTGCCCAATGGCACTGTTCCTAACACACATAGCACTTGGCACTTTGGTCACGGGCCTGGGAAGCCTGGGAGGCTAATTGCCTGACAGGCAATTAGCAAGTGCGGCCAGCACTTGGCCATGCCTGTGATGTCCCTTCTCTCCTCCTGAACCTGCCCCTTCTGTTCCCTATTGCCCGTGTCTCTGAACTGCCGGTCCCCATCTAGAAAACAAAAATTACTGGGAGCTCGATGCCTTAAGGTCAGAAATACAGTTTCAGCATGTGCCTCTAGGGTGCCATGGAACTGGGACCTCGAGCAGGTGCCCCTGCTCGAGGATGGGGTCAGGGGCTGCAGTCTTTGCTGGCAAACTGGGCCCATACTTTTCTAGACAGCAAGCATTGGTGACTGGCTTGACCTCCAAATGTGAGACCATTGCTTGGACTCCCCCACCCCACCCCCACCCCCGCCGATGTGTTTGTAGCAGCAGGTGCCATCTTGGCCAGGGTCATGTGCTCAGTTGTCCCATAACAAAATGGCAGCAGCCCCTGGGCTGTGCCATCTTGCCAGGGAGTGGAGAGTCACATAGCCGGGAAAATGATGACCTCCACATGTGACTTAGTTGACTGGTGGGGGGCAAGCCACTGAATCCAGAGTCTTGCAGAGACCAGCAGGGTTTACGTGTGCACGCACGGCCATCTAGCTGGCCAGAACACAAAGCAGACCACTGAAAATCAAAAAGGCATAGAGTTTCCATCCGATTCAAGGAATCGAGGCTGGGGAGGGCATGCAAGTCCCCGGAAACACACAAAGGCAGATGCAGAGCCCTGGATACCGATAAGGAGAATAAGTGAAAAGACAGACATGAAGGGATGGGGCTTCCGCGGTACATTACATGTGGCACCAAGAGCAGGTCCGGAAGACTTCTGTAGTGGGAACAGTCTGGGCTGGAGACCTTTGCAAATCGTGCACAGTGCACTTTTAAAGTGCAGTCGAGCTGCTGTTTCCTCAGCCTTGTATATCCGAGTCTCAGCACCATATGTTAGGTCTCTCTTGTG